GGATCAACGAACTCCACAAAGCGAAAGGATATTAATTAAATTATAAATATATCAATTCATATGAATATGACTGAAAATTGTCATTTTTTCTGAAAAGGTGGTGTTTATTTACTTGTGACCACGCTGTGTGCAGAACAAAGGGCCATCTGTGATATACATTCAGAAGGTGAGTGAACCAGACCTTCAAGAACATGAGGTTTATTTTGTCAAAAGTAAGAAGTATTATCTGATTTAATCATCTACCATATCTCCTCATGTCTAATAGGGAGCAGAGCAATAGTTCATGGGGGAAACCTAGTATGATGGATGATGCTAAGAAGTGAAATCAATTTCTATGAATATTACATTTGGGACATTCCCTCAAGTCCTGATGGAGATGTGAAATTAGGAGTATGAAGAATGGTTGTGAAAGTCTCAAAGACTAAGCACAAACTTGCTTGAGAGCAGCTACTGAAAGCAGCGAAAAGACATATGCAAATGTACAGCAGACATATAAAAGTAAAATATTTCAAAACTAAAGAAGGATGTGGGGGTGGCACTTTTCTGAAAAACGATGGTTCACAATTTAGACAGGACTGGCCTGCACCAAGTGCTTTGGGAGATTGGGTTTACCACCTTGTACACAGCATTATGCAGTGAGATGTGCTTACAACGATATTCTATCGGTCACTAATATTCAAGTCATCTTTTATAACGTTCCACGGTGGGAAAGCGGTAAGTTTACCTACAACGTTAAGATTCGGCGTTCGATTCCTCGCGGTGACAATACATTAGTGTGGATGGCGGATGATATAGTAATGCTAACTGGTTGTCTTCCATCTGATCGATATCAGAATGAAGGACGGTTGCAAGTAACCTTACCAGCTTTGCGTAAATACAAGAAGCAAAAACTGCCCCATAGACTGAATGGATGTTTTTTTCTGCAAATTTAACACATTAAAGTACTTTATTTTTTATTCGTCATATCTTCATATTAAACATGTAAGATATATATTACTATTCTATTCAATTCAACTTTATTTGTCTTATTTTATTAGATATTTTTGAACCTGAATCGCACCTTACTGGACATACATTTTATGTGCATGTACTTACGTATTGCTAGAGTAAAAAAAGGCTTATACAGTAGCCAACAAATCATTTTCTAATATA